TAATTCCAGCCTGATATTACAAAACTATCAGAAAACAGTGGTAAGCTGCAAACTTCAGACATGGCTAGAAAAAATTCCAAAAACCAGATATACGTTCCTAATTTTTAAAAAATATTGCAACACATGTGTTGTTCTTTAATTGCCAGTTTTCAGGCGAGGCCTAAGGTCCAAATGAAAAGGTTGCAGCTACATTTTAAGTACAATTAGGCATTTAAAGAGTTGTCTAGATTTGCATGCAAAAATTAGATTTGGGCATCTAAATAGTGATTTGCACATGCAAATACCCAATTTGTGCTCTCAGTTGCAGTAGAGTGAGAATTTAGACACACAGTTACATGCATAGACTTTGGGTCTCTTTTTTTCCTAAAATCTGACCCTTAGAATTTTAGTTCAAATACTGTAACATAATTTGATATACAAACAAACACATAAACCTATTGTCATATTGCTGGCGAAAATACAGAATTAGCATTTTCTAAGTGACATCACCAAGCAGATTACAATATACCTACCTCCGGCACCCCAAAATGTAAGTGTCTTAATGATTTAGACTATTGAATACATACTGTAGCCCGAGACAGGAAAAAAATCACCTCTCCTCACCTTCAAATTTAAAGGGAGTACCTTTTCATGCAAATAAAATTACATACACTTTACGTGGTCAATTCATACCCTGGGTCCTGGAAATCCCTTGTCCCCTGGAAATCCCTCTGGACCAGGAGGACCTGGAGGACCCTGGAAACATTGGCATAAATTAGACAGGCAGACAATCTACAAATGGTATATACAGCAGTTATGATACTATTGGATACTTCTCTACTCTAGGGCCCAGTTCTCCATTTCATTAATGCCAGTTTTACACCAGTTTAACTCCATTCAATTCAATGGATATACTCCTGATTTATAGCTTGGTGAGAAGAGAATCAGGCCCTATGTATTTTCACATATAACCATTTTTAAAAGAAAAAAAATAGGATGGCAGCATACTACTGCTTTCTCTTTGGGTGGTTCAGCTGAATGCTAGCAATGCTTCCTCCACAGTGACTCAGGAGACAGGGATTCTACTCCCACCTCTACTGTGGACTCTTTGTGTAACCTTGGGAAAGTCACTTAACTTCTCTGTGACTCAGTTTCCTCATGGTAAAATGGGAACAACACCACTTGCCTGCCTGCACCTCACAAAGACACGGAGGCTAAATTCATTCAGATTTGTAAAGTGCTTTGATATGCTTGGATAGGAAGTGCTACATAAGTGTCCCACTCCCTCGATCCCTAGCTATGCACCCTAAACAATTTCAACCATCCCTGACACAACCTCTGCACCGGGGGGGCGAGTGCAGTGGAAGTAAAGCCAGCTTCAGAGTCTCAATGTGTGGCTGAGACGATGGTGTAGAGAGGAGAGGTTCAGATTTATTAGGAACTGGGGAAACTTTGGGGATAGGGGGAGCCTATACAGGAAGGATGGGCTCCATCTAAACCAAGGTGGATCCAGATTGCTGGCACTTAACATTGAAAAGGTTGCAGAGCAGCTTTTAAACTAAGAGATGGGGGAAAGCCGATTGCTGCAGCGGAGCATGTGGATCGGACAGAGACTTCTCTTAGAGGAGAGTCTATTGATAGAGATTCTCTAGGTTCTAGTCAGGAGGAGAGGATGGAAGAGGATAAAGTATGGGCCAGATCAGACAAGAAACATTCACATAAAAAAAGAATCTGACATCAGAAAAGGGCAGACAAATAAACAGTGACAAGTTTTTCAAGTGCTTGTACAGAAATGCCAGAAGTCTAAATAATAAGATGGGTGAACTAGAATGCCTTGTGTTAAAGGAGGATATTGATATACTAGACATCACAGAAACCTGGTGGAGTGGGGACAATCAATCAATGGGACAAAATATATCGGAAGGACAGAGCAGGTTGGGGGGGGGGAAGGAGTGGCATTATATGTGAAAGAAAATGTAGAATCAAATGAAGTAAAAATCTTAAATGAATCCACATGTTCCATAGACTCTCTATGGATAGTAATTCCATGCTCTAATACTATAGATCCCTACTGTTATATTCTTATCGACCACCTGACCAGGACAGTGATAGTGATGATGAAATGCTACGGGACATTAGAGAGGGTATCAAAATAAAAAACTCAATAATAGTGGGGGATTTCAATTATCCCCATATTGACTGGGTACATGTCACCTCAGGAAGAAATGCAAAGACAAATTTTCTCGATACTTTAAAT